CACACACACACACACACACACACACACACACACACACACACACACACACACACACACACACACACACACACACACACACACACACACACACAGCCAGCCTTACAGCCTCGCCGCGTCCCGCCGTCTCAGGCGGAGAAATCGGCGAAGCTGCAGCTGAGAAAAGATTGAGTGTGTGTGAGGAAGTCCGCAGATTGGTCAATTTGGACCACCAATCCACGGAGGGGTCGTCGTTACGTCACTTAGTTCCCGGAAGAAAAAAATTGAAAAAGAGAAATGTCCAACGAGGCGTTCTGGGGCAGCATAGACAGGTCTTTTCTGTGTTAGAGTTTTACTCGCTACAGGGTGTACTTTGAGGGTTTTGACTCTGCAGACCGTTTACATGCAGAAAAACCTTCATAACACACAAGGGGACGGGTAATAACCGGAAAAGCATGACATGAGACCTTTAAGCATTTGCATTTTAAAGTACTAACCATATATGTAAACAAACCCTGAAGTTAAAGGACTTGTTTATTTGAATAGATTTAGGATTATCCCCTTTAGTTAAAGGGGTGGGTCAATGTTTCTTGTTACATAATAACCTCACTAATGTCAACACTGCCTCTTATGTGTAAAACTTCCTCTAATTTCCTTCTGCTTTTAGTGACATACCTTTTTTAACTAATACAACCTCAACTGTAAATTGTTTTTTAGCAGTGTGTTCCTTTTTCATTTACAGAAAAACTCATCATTAACTTGGATTACACGTAAAGTCAATGTGTCTTGTTTGATTTTGTTTTTCGCTTTATCCCTAAACAAAAGCTGAGCTGAACCCCACCCTCCAAGGATGTATATTAAGCGTTTTAGCGAATAGCTCAACGGGATGGTATCTGGGGAGGGGGACGGGGGTGTTTATTCAAAATACCACGCTTACCGAAACTCCCATCAGTTTCATATAATCAGCAGAGCAATTAAGAGTCGTTTCAGCAATTGTCAGACTACAAAAAAAACGTCTACGACCTTTTTCGAAATACATTCTGAGCTATGAATGTTATTAAGGAGTGCAGCAGCTAATCAGAGAAATACACAAGCCGTTACAAGTTGATCTGTAGTCCTCTGTCACACATTCAAGTTGTAATTAGAGTAGTTAATTAGTAGGTGTGAGAAGCTCTGTTTTCCAATGTTCTGATGGTAGGAGCTCAGGTCAGAAGTGTGTCTTTTGTTGGTTTTGGGGGGGGTTTATAATAAAATACGTTGTGAAGGAATCTTTTTGTTTATTCTTTTGATCATTGCTCAGATCTGAATATATCAAATACTGCTACTACTATATATATATATATATAAATAAACTACTGTCATTTAGAGAATTTAATCTACTTTTCACATGTAGGTTGTTGTATAACCTCTATGTCATAAGAACAACTTGATAATATTAAGAAATGCACACAATTGTTTTGTCATATAGCTCCTCAATATTGATATTGTGACAAGATTGACTGTTGATGCTTTCTCATATTTACACAGTGAGATGTTTGAGGAATAATCATAAGTAGTCCCGATATTCAGTCTCTGCCGATCGATCGGTGCTCTCTAAAAATGCCGATCGGGAGAGCCGATCACATGACGTAAAATACATGACACTTTTCTCTGTGCGCAGCAAAACAGGCTCGCCAAAATGGCTTNNNCAAGGTCACTGAGGATTCTCTCTCTCCCCCCCTCTCTCTCTCCTGACAGCCTGTCAGTATCGCCTCATGCAGCTCGCTACTCCAGTAATGAGTGACCCGACAGTGAAAAATAAATATATGTATAACTAGTTTAGCTTGTTCCAGAGGTAGATAAAATATCTAAGTGTGTTAGGTCTAACTCTTAGTGTGTGTTGCTCCGCTCACCGGTCCGTCACAGCGGGTGGATCTGCAAGATTTCTGCTTCACACACGTTGCATACCGCTATTTTATTGTCTTTTTCGGACACCTTAAAATAATGCCAGACTGGTGAAGCCATTTTGGAGAGCTTGTGTTGCCGCGCACAGAGAAAAGTGTCACGTATTTTACGTCATGCGATCGGCATTTTTAGAGAGCACCGATCGATCGGCAGAGAGTGAGTATCGGCCGATATCGATCGGTGGCCGATCGATCGGAGCATCCCTAGTTAAATGTTACCCGTCTCGATGTGGACAATGCTCATTACCAAAAGTGCAATAAGAGTTTAGCATGTAAGGGCGGTAACACGAGCAATTTGTCTAAGCATNTGGATAATAACAAGGGAGAAATGAGCGGAAGCGCTCTCTCCCTCTCTCTCTCTCTCCTGACAGCCCGTCAGTATCTCATGCAGCTCACTGATCCAGTAAATTACTGGATCAGTGAGCTGCATGAGATACTGACGGGCTGTCAGGAGAGAGAGAGAGAGGGAGAGAGCGCTTCCGCTCATTTCTCCCTTGTTATTATCCAAAGTTAATGTAAACTTGAATAATGTACTTAA